TAATACATAGTATATATATATACCTATAATATATTTGGAATCAAACACTCATGTACTATTAGTATAAGGTGCCAAATAAAATTGTATTGTATTGTATTGTACATACACTATACCAGTCGTAACCTTTCATAACGCAAACACGACAACATGATTTGGCTTTCAATTTATGAACCTACATGAGAGTTATGAATTTCAATAGAAATAGTTTACGATCTAATAGTGTAAAGATTCTCTGTAATATATCAGCAACGAGTCGTAAAGGGGGTTCCGGACCCCCTGAACACCTTCCCTGTATCCGCCTTTGCGACTGAAAATAACTGCAAAAATTTTATAGATTATCGATGAATGAAAACTTTGTAGATTCGACTGCAAACTACTGCAAGAAGTTTAAATTTTTTAAACCTTTTTCTTAAATTTTATAAAAATAGCTCTAATTTTGCATCGAGGCACGTCAGTTTCTAATTAAAATTCTATATTTTTGATACCGTTCTTCAAAAATGTAAGTAAGACTAATCAAGATAGATGATGCCACATTAAATTTTAAAATATTTCAGAATCTTCCCCAACCTCGTACCCAGAGCCTTTATTTCTTACTGCGCATGCTCGACGAAATAAATAATTATTTCATCGAGCATGCGCAGTAAGGAATAAAGGCTCTGGGTACGAGTTGAATCTTCCCCTTCACAGTTCCTTGCGCCATCTTGAAAGGTAACCGTGCGAATGTCTGTGCATTGAAATTTGCATGGAGTTTTTCCCAATTCCCCAGCATATTTTTTAATAGGCTAGTTAGCTGGCGTACGATGACGAAACTTATTTTGGTTGTTTATCATATAAATTGCCAACCAAAAATCTATTGGACAATCCCGCCACTAATAAAGCAAAGTAACAACTATTGTTAAAATGGTTGGCTTGTTAAGAGATTAAATGTTTATAATTGAAGATTTCAGTAGTCTTCCTATTTTCTTCCGTGCTGACGTAATTTACATACAGCGATCTAAAACATATTGTAAGCTTGATAAACAACTCTTACAACAACAAAAAAACAGTCGCCAACCTTTTTTGAAATAGATCTTTTGAGCTTGAGCATAATTTTAGTCCCATTTCAGACCACGTGTCATTCTCTTGAGAATAAGATTCTTTGTTTGAGTTATATTGATATTTATATGAGTCTTGTGTACCACCGTTAAACAAAGAAATGATACTCTAGGGGAATGACACGTGGTCTGAAATGGGAAGACGTTACGCCCAAGCTGAAGAAGTCTATTGCTGTATCTCCGTCAGGTCCAAAGTCCATACGCCTCAGCTCCTGTCGGGACTAATTAAGTATAAAGATTTCTCTTTGCAAAGTGGGTTTGAATCCATTCGTCGGTATGACATCCAGATAAGATTAAAGCCTTTAAATCTTATCGAACCCTGAAACAACCTCTGGTGCTGTTTAACGTCGGGGCACGGCTATTACACTCACAAATCGAACCTTGAAACTGAACCACTGGGCTGGTCTTAGTCAAGTCACGGCTAAAATTCACTGACCGAATCGGAACTTAGCTTATTCGGTTATGCGGAGAGAGGAAACCCAAAAATCCCAAAGAAAACTCCTCGAATTAAGAGAGAGACCTAACGAACTCTAGTAACCCCTATCCCAGATGAGATGCGAGGTGACAAACGTACGTCCTAGTGATCCAAATGGGATTCCTGTGTTTCCCCCACAATCCTTAGCAAGCGTAAGCGCGCGCACATTTTCTAATTTTCAAAATGGCGGATGGACCCAACGAATTCAAGCTGAATCAACCTCCAGATGACGGGATTTCTGCCGTTAAATTTAGTCCAGCTTCGCTGAATTTTTTACTTGTATCATCTTGGGATTCRGTAAGTCGAGTTTGTGTTGTTTTTAATCTAAAATATATTGTTTTGAATAGAATTTCTAGAACGTTTCTGTTAAAAAGATTCTCAGTCAAACTTCAGTTTTTTCGAAAACTGACAGGGGACAGTTTTTCTCTCTTTTCTTCATAATTTTTTTGTAATAAAATGATAATATATTTATGAGAGGACTAATAAAGGTTGGGGATATTTATTATTAATGTTTTTCTATACTGCTAGATAATTTTATAGTGTCTAACCGTCTTATCTTTCCCCTCCCCCCCCCCCCCCTCCCATCAAATCTTGTTCATATTCATGATTGTCATGTATCGCTTCCCTTGAGAAAAAGAAGACAAAAGACATGGCTGCCATGTTAATTCACCATTTTCCATACATCGGTTCACTGRTCAAACACAAAGCATTCAGTCAAGGTTGCAAGGTTCAAATTTGAAAAATCCTTTGAAAGTACCTTGGCACCTCACTTGAGTGCTTTGTGTTTGACCAGCGAATAAAGTCGTTACCAAATCTCTTGTATATGTCATCCAATATGGTGGATATAACACCGTATACACTGAATACAAGTTTCGCATTATACCACTCTTTTTGAAGACCAAAGATTCATTTGCAGAAGCTTAGCCTCATTCATATGTAAATCATACATATATATTATATAGCCTCATACATATATATTATGTGTTTTCTAGAGTGTCAGGTTATATGATGTACAGAACAACTCCATGCGGTTTAAGTATAACCATTCCAATGCCGTGCTAGACTGCTGCTTCCAAGATGGTGTGCATTGTTATAGTGGAGGATTAGATAAGACACTAAAGGCGTAAGTTATTCCCTTGGGTTAAGATATATACAAGGGTTGCGTAGCAGTAGTTTACTCTTTTCTAACATCTCTGGGTCTGGGGTTTAATTCGTGGACCCAACATCACATACCAGTAGAGTCTGTTAGGTCTCTCCCTTGATTCGAGGGTAATACCACCCTTGGGAAAATGAAGTTTTGACTTTATTTATAATGTATATTTTTGACTGACTTGAAATATTATCTATTCTAGGTATGATTTTAATGCTTCACAAGAACAAATTGTTGGCATGCATGAAGACACTATACGCTGCGTAGAATATTGTCAACAACTTAGTAAGTACTAAAACAATGCTGTCTTTTATATCTTGTGTTACGAAGGAAAAGTAGTTACTAAAAAAAATTCTGGTAGGCTAGAATCTGGATCATAAGGAGATATTCTTTGGATTTTTGAAAGAAGGAAAAGTTGTTACTAAAAAAAATTCTGATAGGCTAGAATCTGGATCATAGGGAGATATTCTTTGGATTTATATACAGTTTACCAGTAATCCATACAAACCCTATCCTGACCTCATAATATGTTATTTATTAGCTTTTATCATTGTTGTCATTGTCATTCAATTAAGAGGTCATTTCAAACACTCATTAGCTTGTTTCATGAGGAAAACAAGACCCTAGTCTGCGTACAAGTTGAATTTAACTCTTGTTAAGACCTCTTAACCAGAGTTAAGTTTGGTCTGCACTCAGGCTACAAAACCCTTGAAAACAATGAATTTCAAGGGGCAAAAAAATTCTGTGAGTTTTGATCTCCTGGTGAAACACTGAAATGAGTGTTTGGAAAATAACTTTTTATTGAAATTGGAGCCATAAGATAATGGTTAATTAGATCAACAAAATGAAAATACTAAAAAGATTCAGGTAGTAGTGGTATTGAGATATAACAATGGGAACAAATAGTATTTACTAGTTGGCTATTCATTGACAGTCTCATTGTTTTTTATTCAGATTTGATTATTACCGGAAGTTGGGACAAATCTATTAAATTATGGGATCCAAGACAAAGGCAATGTACAGGAACATATGCCCAACCTGAAATGGTACAAAAAAACTTTTTCTTAAACTTATATTTACCAATCATAACTCCCCATACTGTATTACAATAATTATCATTAAGAGTTACCATCTATATCTAATATAAGAGGGAAGAAAGCAGTTACTTACCACTGTGGTCATAAGAAACCCAGGTAGTGGCCACTTTCAGTGTTGCAGTGCACCTTACCCGCTTTGTACAGTGTATATAATTACAAGCACTTTGTCCTCAGTTATCTTAGACCTGGAGTGTTGGTTGGTCCAGATATATCACAGAGGGGGACATTGTGTGGGTGTGTTGCAAGACTCTTATTTTCCCCTGGCAGTGCACCTGACCCTTTGTACAGTGTATGTAATTACAAGCACTTTGTCCTTAGTTATCTTAGACCTGGAGTGTTGGTCCAGACGTATCACATAGAGGGGGACATTATGTGGGTGTGTTGCAAGACTCTTATTTTCCCCTGGCAGTGCACCTGACCCTTTGTACAGTGTATATAATTACAAGCACTTTGTCCTCAGTTATCTAAGACCCGGAGTGTTGGTCCAGACACATCACATAGAGGGGACATTGTGTGGGTGTGTTGCAGGACTTTTATTCTCCCCCTCAGCATGGACTAACGATCACCAATCGACCATGTTCAACAAGAAAACTGGGCCTGGTTATACGAAGGTTGAATAATGCTATCTGACAGATAAATCTTATCCAGTTAATAAATTTATTGGATAGCAGCCTTTACTTATCCGCTGAATAATGATTTATCCATTGGATAGCGCTATCCACCCTTCGTACAACCAGACCCAGAAGAATAGGCTGTTATTTATTATTAAAACTTAATTATTGACAATCTGGTATGTTTACATAGGTTTATACCATGGGACTGGCTGATGAGAGGCTCGTAGTTGGAACTGTAAGTTAAAGTATTTCTATTCCATTTCATAATAACTATGATTTCTCACATGCTCTCAAATATCTAAGTGACTTTTTTTGTCTTTATAGGCAGGAAGGAGAGTAATGGTCTGGGATCTCAGAAACATGGTAAGAAATTTGCTTCAGTAGACACTTTACATTATGGTATCAAGCACTTCCTTAATGAGCTGATTGATTCTCTTTCACATTTTCTTTTGTCAATGGTAACCGCCACCTGGTTAGCTCAGTTGGTAAGAGAGTAGGTCTGTTGTGCAGGCGGTCTTTCTTCAAGCCTCGGCTGGACCACCACTCAGGGTCTTGAATGACTGAGAAGGTGCTGCCTATGATTACACCTGCAAATGGTTAGACCTTCAAGTTGATCTTTTCGGACAAGGACTTAAAAACTGTAGGCCCCGTCTGTCTTCACTATATAACCCTGTATAAGGTGGACATAAAGACCCACAGAAGATGCTAATAAATAAATAAATGAGTAATCTTACTATTCTTATTAGATAATAAAAATTATTTTGTTTTTCATGATATTTAAAAAATTTCACTTTCAGAGCTATGTACAGCAAAGAAGAGAATCAAGTCTAAAGTATCAGACAAGATGTATAAGATGTTTTCCAAACAAACAAGGTTAGTAAGTTAGTGTGAGGTGCGCTATGCAAGAGGTCCATAGTTTGATATACAGTGACCTCACACTTGTTATAAGGAGTAAGGATAGCTTGGTTGGTTAGTGTGCTGTCTGCTAAGCAAGAGGTCCATATTTTGATCCTCAATGACACTTGTTATAATGATAATAATATAGTAATAGTAATAATAATAATAGTAATAATAGTAAAATACATACTTTAACAGGGTAGGCCCATCAGCAAAGCTGCTATCAAGGAGCGCCCTGGACAACTAAAATACAAATAAATACAAACTAAATAAATGAACTTAACGATAAAAAAATTCTAATTTATATAAGCTTAAAAACGATTTCTAGATGTTAACTAGTAAAAGGATTTCTAAAATTGTCTAAAATAGTAAAAATTAAAATCTAAAATACATCCCTAAGTTTCAACTTCAATATCAACAAAGAGGTGATCTCTTTAAGAGAGTGGGTGGGTTTCAACTGCATAACAGTGCATGTATCCTTTGTGCTCTGAACCCTCACACTATATATAAATTTATTTTTGCTTTTACGTTTCAGGTTATGTGTTAAGTTCAATAGAGGGCAGAGTTGCTGTAGAGTACTTTGATCCCAGTCCTGAGGTTCAAAAGAGAAAATATGCATTCAAATGCCATCGCATCAAAGAAAAGGAGATTGAACAAATATACCCTGTCAATGCTATTGCATTCCACAACATGTGAGTACATTTACTCATGCAATTATGTAATAAATTTTAAATCCCCTATTGCCTTTTATCATTACATATAAGTGAGAGCCATGGCGAGGCAGTGGTTAGCCCTTCTAGCCTTGGTGGGGAAGGTTCTTGGCTTGATTGCCGTCTGATGCAACAAAATTAAGTGTGAAAACTTGGCTCTCTGGTACTGTTTCCAAATTGAAGATGTAAAAGAAACCACTTTGGAGGCAACAAACCCTGTTTGTGGCTGAGCTCACTACCAGCAAAAGCAAGGTCGGCTTGGCAAGAATCTTCCAAATAGACTTCTAGTGTTTGTGACCTTGAAATCATTATTGTTAACTAAATTACAAAGTACAGCTAGTAGGTCATATGAGAGGAGGCTGAGCCCTGAAAATCGTATTCTAATGCAGCGTACTTGTACTGTATTTATTTCAGCCACAACACATTTGCCACAGGAGGTTCTGATGGTTTTGTTAATATCTGGGATGGATTCAACAAGAAGAGACTCTGCCAGGTTGGTAATCTCTACTATAATAACAGGGCTGAATAACGTATATGTGCAAAATCATCCAAGAAATTTAACTTTATGGAGAAGAATTTTAGTTATTAAACATTTGAAAATTTCTACATATTATAAATACAAGCCTTAGGCAATGGTTTACAATACAGGTACAGCAAGCCCATGATATTGCCCAAACTGCTGAGTTGTTTTTGCAGCCCTGTTTACCAAAACATTTTTTCCTGTCTCTTTGAAAAAGTTTTGCACTTGGTACATGCCTGAGGGGGAGATAGACCATGCCCATACTTCCTGCCTAACATTTATCGCGATCTATCTAACTTTTCTCAGTTTCTCATTTCTTTTGTTAATTAATTTTTGTTTTGTTCACAGTTTCATAGATATCCCACTAGTATTTCATCCTTGTCATTCAGTCATGATGGCAGTCTGTTGGCCATATCAAGCTCATACATGTATGAAGAAGATGAAAAAGAGTGAGTCATTATACTCTTTTACTTGATAGAAAACCTTCAAATTTATGAACCCTGAAACAACTTCTGGGCTGGTTTAAGTCAGGGCACAGCTTACTCACAGACTGAACCCTGAAAGAACCTTGGGGCTGATCTAAGTTCGGGCACAGCTTAATCACAGATCAAACCCTGAAACAACATCTGTGTTGATCAAAGTCAGAGCATGACTTAATCACAGGTAAAACCCCAAAACAACCTCTAGACTGATTTAAGTCAGGGCTTGTTAAGGTTTGTGGAAAGGGGGAATGGGAGGGGGACCAGAATGACCAGAGAAAAATCTTCCAATCAAGGGAGAGACCCAACAAACTCTACTCACATGATGCTTAATCCAGGAATCAAACCAGAAACCTCAGAGATGATTGGCAAGTGTACATCACTACTATCACTACTCCACTCTACTGAATAATAAATTGACCTTTTCCTTAAACAAATCTAGGCTTGACCTAAATTTTCTTTCTTGCCCTCCTTTCTTCAGCCATCCACCAGATGCAATATACATCCGCCGAGTGTCCGACGCAGAAACTAAACCCAAATGAGTGGCTTGTCAACTACGTCAGTTCTGTCAGAGTACACATACTATTCACGAACATGTCTTAATTCGTAAGACATTTTTATAAAACTTAGTTACTGCTTGCAGGTTTCCCCGAAAAATTAGATGACCAATGCAGGGTTCATGCTACTCCTTAAACTCCTTGAAAACTCCTTGAATTTAATTCATGTTTTCAAGGGCACTTCAATTTTACGATTTTAGCGAAACTCCTTGAGAACTCCTTGAATTTTTTCTTTGATCATTACTTGCAAGGTTCTGAAATAGATCTAGTCAAAAAAATTGGAAAATCTGAAAGATGGCCATGTGCAACCAGCGTGTAAAACCTTGGCATAGTTAGCTGAACATACTCCTTGAAAATTCATTTTTGGGTCCTTGTACACTCCTTCAATAGTCCTTGAATTTTAAGTGGATACCTCAACACGAACCCTGCAAATGGTATGATACTGATATGACCAACATTTCCCTCCACTTCCGACTCCAATAACCTACTTCTAAAATAAAGGGCACCTTCAAATGAATGGAATGAGTTTCAGGTCACTTTTCCTATATTACTTCACATCCCTGCCCACTGATAAATGATAAACTAACCCCCAAAGGTTAATTAAGTACTAATAATTTTGGAGGCATACTATTTCATTCCAAAATATATTATTCTTGAGTCATACTGAAAGTAACAGATTTTGTGTTAGTGGAAAAAAATAGACCAAATTAATAATTTTTTTGTAACCATACTGTATGCGTACTGTAACCTTAAAGCATTGAATTATTGCCTTGTATGTATTATAAGTCAATGTCTTATGTCTTTAAAATGACAAAATCATGCAACTTACTGCAACAATTTTACATTAGAAGCTCCAACGAGGGACATTTTTATTGGTATTATTATAACAACATTCATTATGGAACCAACAACACAACTTTGTTGCATATTACAGTATGTTGCATGGCTTACTTGCCTGTATTACTGTTACATTACTTGTATAAAGCTCAACTTTGTTACATGTTATGTTGCTTGGCTTTCTTGCCTCTATTATTGCATCATTACTTGTAAAAAGCCTTTGCATCTTCTAGACTAGGAACTTTCCCTTCTGACTCAGTAAAGACATGTTTTTAGGATTCCTGTGGACAAGAGGAGGTTGGGCCCACTAAATTAGCTTCAACTTTCATACCTCCCAAGGAGTCCTAAAAATGCATCTTCACTGAGTCTGGAGGGAAAAGTGAGACAGCTTGCAGCCTAGCATAATCAGTTATTTGTTTGTATCTAATACTAATAAATTTTTATTGTACAAAACTTCTGACTGTATTCTGTTTAAAGAATTTGAAGAATCACACCCATTGAGTTCTTAAGTATTATCTCGGTGGTCTTTTCAGTTTCTCCACTCACCATCAAATAAGTATTTTTTTTTTTTTTGGTCCCTAAGATTTAAAGGTTTTTCTTGTGAGGGGGGTTAGGAAGAGATGTCTCAAGAATATGGAGGACTGACAGTAAACTACATTGCACTCATCCAGTTGATGTAGACTACATTTACTGCTGAAACAAAATGCAATAGACACTTTTAGCTTGGGCGTAATTCTTTTCCCATTTCATACCATGTAATGATGATGATTTATGAATTTATATAGCGCCTTTTCTATATGAATATAATCAAAGGCGCTTTAGATTGAGAAGTGAATGACAGATTGCTTTTTGTGTAATTTACAAGCATGAGAGATGGTTAGTACGAAGTGGAGGCACTGATGGTGGTCACTGCCAGGGTTTCTTTACGTTCTCAGTGGTTCTTTTACGTCCCTCCGATGATGGTTAGTAATGATGAGTGTGGAGAGACGGGACGCCATTTAAAATGGTTATCTAAGCCACTTGAAAGACTAACCATTTGAAGATGTAATTACAAAGGCAGCACTTTCTCCTCAGTTATTATCCCAAGACCCTGAGTGTTGGTCCGGCCGGAACTCGAACCACGACCTCCCGCACGAAACTCCGATGCTCAACCAACTCAGAGCCAACCGGTTTGTAGTCTCCCTCGCATCCGACTAACCAGTTTGTGAAACATGGCTAAATTAAATGTGTGAAACATGGCTAAATTAAATTGGTCAGATTAGATTTCCCACAGAAAACCCCGCATTTCCCACTAAGCTATTTTTGTGTCCGCAAAGCAATTATGTTGACCAGCGGATGCTCACTCGAATCCAAGATGGCAGCTTGCAGGATGTTTTCTCGAACGAGCTGCGTTTGCACAATAATATCGGCCACAAAAACATGCTTTAGATTAATCCCAAGATCAGCTTCGACTCATGAAAACCCTTTCGTAAGTATTACATGCTTAAACCTTGTTTAAATTTAATGTCTTTTGCAAATTTTATTTGCATTTTCTGTTGTGTTTATTTCCAAGAGAAAAACGTTTGAAATATTTCGGGAAAATGAATGAAACACAAATTTTCTATCTTTGTTGAAAAATGTTATAATGTTATTGGAGGCGTTTCTTTATATAAATGGAATATAAAAGCAATGCCAGTCCCCTTCATGTGGGAGGTATGGATATTCCCAATGCAGCCCAAGTCAGAGGACGAAACAATATAATTTTATTCATGATAGTTATGATTCATCAGCTTTTTAATTATAAATCAAGCCAAGCTTTCGAGCATCTTGCTCTTCATCAGGGCAAACGATTGTGACAGTTTTACAAGAAACACACAATATAACAATGTGTATGCTACATCGAGTGTATAAGCAGATTACAAAATCTTATAATCACTTATACACTCGATGTAGCATACACTTAACATACAGTTCTTTACTGAGTGACAAAAACACATTTCATAAATATAATTTAACTTTCATGAGAATGGACATTGTTTTATTCTCTGAATTCAGCAGCTCTGAGAATAATTTCACATCCTCACCAACAGACCTCCCACCCCTTAAGAAATATCCAGCCCTTGAGCTGTCGAGGTTACAGAAACATATAAAACTTTCTACATATAGGGTATACGTGGTCAAGGTAATGACCCTAGTACAGGGTCACCACAGGCAGCCCAGAACAGAGCATCAAGAGGTCTGCCCAAGAAGTGGCCTATAGCAGGGGTCCAACATGTAGTGTTGGTTGCATCTGGTAAAGGTGGAGTYGGTAAATCAACTACTGCTGGTAAGATGTTCATTTAGTTTTTAAACATTAATAATGATCGATAAACAGTTATAAATGAGGATGTTGATCAGCCATTTTTTTCTCATTTACAGTCAATCTTGCTTTAGCTATGCTATCTAGTGAAAAGGTAAATTTATAGCTTTATATCATTATCTCTCTATATATTTTGATACCCCAGTGAGATGAGAGCTGAGTTTTTCCTATGACCACCCACCCCCTAGGAATTTTAATTTCCTCCATGGTGGGGTATGGATATTTTTTGAAATCACATATCCCTATGAATCTATCATGAGCTAAAAATTAATCATTTTCAAAAAGTAGCATAGGTGGCGTGAGCTGCTTATGAGCTGCCTCTCACCAATGTAACCTGGGTTTGAGCCCTGGCTTGGTGTCATATGTGAGTTGAGTTTGTTGGCTCCCTCATATGCTCCAAGGGTTTTTCCTCCAGGTTCTCGGCTTTCATTCCTCCACAAAAATGGATTTCTAAATTCCAATCCAATCTATCTGCTACCTTATCAATAAATTATTGTGTTGCAATACCTGTTAGGCATTAAGCCATCCACCCAGAAGTGGTAAACACATTGGACTTTGAAAATGCTTAGATCGTTGTATACTGTATAATGTTCAATAATTGGGTCAGTAAATACCTTAGTAGGGGATCCGGACTTAAAGTACTATTATATTTCACACCTACCTTCGGGTGAATCTTTAAATAAAAAAATAAAATAAAATAATACTACAGTATGATGTATTTCTTTCTGTGATTTTTTAGTCACTGAGTGTTGGGTTGCTTGATGCTGATATTTATGGCCCATCAATCCCATTAATGATGAACCTCAAAGGACAACCTGAACTCAACAAAAGTAAGTGAATAAATCATTTTTGAAGAGTGTGTGACGTGAAAGCTCATGTTACCACCATGCAGTGCTGTGACAAAGACAAAGCTAAGTTTGAGCATTCTGATTGAATGAACACTATTTTCAAAGTTGTTAGTTATTATATACTACATATAAATATGAAAATCATTCCATTTGATGATAAAGATAAAGATTAAATGATAGAGGTAAATAATTTACCTTTTTATCATTACTGTTTTATTAGAAACACCGACGCAGCTCACACTAGTTTTTAGCTAGTTATCTCTTCATATGTTAAGACAAAAGTCAGGGCACAGTAAGCCTTCTGTTGATTTTCATTGAGATATCTTGAGAAATTCAATAATTTGAAACTCATATACGTTTACTGTATAGAAGTCTAAGTACCAACAAACAGAGGTTGTGTGGAAAGTGCCACAGTCATAGGTAATCTCCTGTTATACATAGAAGATACTGAAAATAAAATTGAACAAAAATTTTGAAATATTTTCATGACAAAATGTTTCATTATAAAAACACGATTTACTTACCCCTCCCCCAAGAGGGATGCTAAGACCTAAGCTGAGACCTGAGGTAGCCCTTATAATATATTCATTACTGACCAAAATCCAACAAGAAAAGAGACGATAAAATGAAATATTTATCCAAGTCCCGATTAAAGTTAAACTTCTTTGAGTCCTTCAAGTTATTTTTAATTTTGTTGCTCAAGCTGTCTGTCTGTGATGGGTACCCCCTTTGATGGACTTAAATAAATGTAGATGTAGATGTAAAGCAAAATTTCAAGCAGAGTCTTTATCTGGGCTACCTTCATACATATGAAAGACAGAATTTCGATATTGATCTTTGCCACGACGGTAATAGTTGATCAGTATGTTATGTGTATGTCGGCTCGTTATCAAGTCGGTATTGAACGACGCGCGGCACTTTCATTAGGTATTTTGGAGCCAAATCCAAACACCCACGTCAACGACCAAAAATATTCTTACACGGGTTTGAGTTTTAAATTCACTATTTCAACGAAAAAGCCAAACAAAAACTGAAGCTCATGAATATCATTCCATTTGCGGAAGTTTTTTATTGGCATTTGGAAATGTTTTTTAAGGTATGGGTCGATACGTCGGTTGTTTTGGCGGACGGCCGTTCGACTGATGCATGCATAATTTTTGGCGCCAAACTCAAACAACCTTTGGAACGATTCAACAAAGAACCACAAAATTTCTTTATGTTATAACACAATTTAGAATGAATTTAATCTAATTGTTGAATAGTGGACAACAACTAAATTAATGAAATAAGTTTATTTACTATTTAGTTGACTTCTCATAAATTTCCGTGCCAGCAGTCTAAAAATCAGGGAACAAAACGAAGATGTAATCGACTTTCTCTTAAGAATTCTCTTGTTATGTAAACCCAGGGATTCGCAGGAACGTTGGTCTGGCACGTATTTATAGTTATCTAAGTTAAATAAATTTGTATAGGAAATACTACTGTTTGAGAAGAATTTTTTCGTTTGAATTTGATGTCTTATTACCACAAATACGTAGTATAAATGTTGTTTTGTATACTGTAATTTTGACCATTAGTTTCATTTTCAGAGATGTGTGTATGTGTTTAGTTTCATAGCATAAGATCATGATCTTTCGATTCATGTGGTGGCTCCTAAAAGAGCCGTTTTGTGTTGTAAACAGTTTAGRACTGTTTACTTGCTGCTGGTGTACTTGGTGACAGCCTTGGTGCCTTCACTGACTGCGTGCTTAGCCAGCTCACCAGGGAGAAGAAGACGAACAGCCGTCTGGATTTCCCGAGATGTGATGGTGGATTTCTTGTTGTAGTGAGCAAGACGGGAAGCTTCACCAGCGATGCGCTCGAAGACATCGTTGACAAAGGAGTTCATGATGCTCATGGCTTTACTGGAGATACCAGTGTCAGGATGGACCTGCTTCATGACCTTGTAAATGTAGATGGCATAGGATTCCTTTCTTTTGGACCTTCTCTTCTTCTTATCTCCCAAAGCGGCCTTCTTACCGGCTTTCTTCTCGCCTTTCTTTCCTGGGGTTACTGGTTTTGGAGGCATTTTTGTTCGTTATCAAAATTTTTGAAAAACAAATTGAAGTTCACTTCAAGGCAACTCGTATTTATATGAAAATTGATAAAGATCAATTAACATGCGGATCAGAAATACTAGAAGCTGATTGGTAAAAATAAATTGGCTTAGAATTCATATCCAAAATTCTGACATTTCTTTGTTAAGATATCTTCCTTGATTGGTGGATTTCGATCCTAATACACTCATGGTTTTGCTATAAAACTCTTCTTTGGAAATCTCGAGTTCATTCACTAACTTTGTTAAAACACTTTCAGTAAAACATTAACACAATGTCTGGCCGAGGTAAAGGTAAAGCAAAGGGCACTAAGTCCAAAACTCGTTCATCCCGTGCAGGGCTTCAGTTCCCCGTCGGTCGTATCCATCGTCTCCTCCGCAAGGGCAACTATGCTCAACGTGTTGGTGCTGGTGCTCCAGTCTACATGGCTGCAGTTCTCGAGTATCTGAGCGCTGAAATCCTTGAGTTGGCCGGTAACGCTGCCCGTGACAACAAGAAGAGCAGAATCATCCCCCGTCACTTGCAGTTGGCTGTCAGAAACGACGAGGAGTTGAACAAGCTTCTTGGTGGAGTTACCATCGCTCAAGGTGGTGTTCTTCCCAACATCCAAGCTGTTCTTCTTCCCAAGAAGACCGAGAAGAAAAGCTCTTAAACAGTTCAACTGTTCAACACAAAAACAACGGCTCTTTTAGGAGCCACCACATGAATCGAAAGATCATGACATTATGCTTTATACCAATAAATAGACCAAAATTAAATGATATACCCAACGAAAAATTGCAGAAAACATATGACCCAAAAATTATCCTACTCAATATCCTTACGTCTTTGACAAGAGCCGTTTTCCTTTGCAACAAATTTGTTCTCTTGAAAGATATGTTCAGAAAATGCTATCAAAAACACAACTCCATAGAATCCATTCCCTTCAGGCTCCGGTCGTACGAAGGGTTGATATGGGATATCTTATCCAGTAGATAAAGTGATGCTATTCTCCAATAAATTTATCCTCTGGAAAAGATTTATCCGTCGGATAGCGCTATCCATCCCTTGTACGACCGAGCCCAGAAAATAAATTTTAATACGAAACGGTTCAATCTGATCTAAAGGTGAAGTTCTCCTCACTCTACATCTTCGTCACAAGCCATTTTGTTTTGAAATTGTAAGCCGTTCATAATTCGCGCCATTCGTTAATTATTCCAACTGCCTTTTCGTTATGACTTAGGACAACTGTTTGGAACCGAGTAGCAAAGATACTTCTTCATATACAACACAAATCTGGGTGCCTCTTTTCATCTTCTTACAAAAATTTCTCTTCGCTGTGGCTTTTTTTATCACAAGCCATTGTTTTCGCGCCATTTGCTAATTATTCAAACTGGCTTTTAGTTATGACTTAGGACAACTTTTCGAGAAAAAATAACTCTGTGGGGAAACTTAACAGAGGAACAGACTAGAAGAGGTACTTCTTTATGTGCAACAAAAAGTCCGGGTGACTGTGTTCATCTCTAAACAAAAAATGTGTTTGAATTTGCTGCAAATAAAAATAGCGCCCTAAATGACCGACGATATATGACATTTTGATTGACATAAGCGGTTCGCTTCATTGGGTGGATAGTTATTTATAGTTCAAACATAAGTCGAAAGTGTCTAAGTCAAAGTATTGGTTAAGATTTACTTATGTAATTACTAAACTTAAATATTGAGAATTTGACGTATATTTGAAAGGGGTGTCTTTTTGTAATTGCAGCATATGGACACAAGACTTTAATAATATTTGGTGGCTCCTAAAAGAGCCGTTGTTTGTGAAAAAGATGAGAAACTCATCTAACCACCAAATCCGTACAGGGTACGTCCTTGGCGTTTCAGAGCATAGACCACGTCCATGGCTGTGACGGTCTTTCTCTTGGCGTGCTCGGTGTAGGTGACAGCATCACGGATGACATTCTCAAGAAAAACCTTGAGGACACCACGGGTCTCTTCGTAGATCAGACCAGAGATTCTCTTGACTCCACCACGACGAGCAAGACGACGGATGGCGGGCTTGGTGATACCCTGGATGTTATCCCGAAGGATCTTACGATGACGCTTGGCGCCTCCTTTTCCAAGACCTTTTCCTCCTTTACCGCGACCAGACATTTTTGTGTTCAGATTTAGCTAACTGAAGAATGATTCGATTTTGGCGGACATCAGTTTATGTACTGCAAAGTCGAACCCAAAGGAAAACATAACAGAATTCAATATACTCGAACTTTGGACCAACAATTAGCAATACACACGTCATCTCTTAATCAAAGCATCTTTCCGATCCATGTTTTTGACAGGAGATCAAAATTACAAACTTTGCTATCCTTTTTCTAGCTCAATTCTAAACTAACTTTGTTGATAACTCTTCTGTTTAAAGTAAATAACTAAGAAAACGTATTTCTGAGATTCAATTTCAAAATCTCCTAAATAAAAAGGTTTTAGAAATGGTTAAAAATTTGCTAGCTTGAGGTAACTGACATTTTGAATAACAGCGGTATCAAGCGTCATCCAATGAGATTCGTTTTCAGAAGAAGTTCAGCCAATGGCAATGTAACTTTTACTTAGCCAATCACAGCAAAGCGCGGCCAGGATAAAAACGTAACTTTATTTATGTTCAGAAGTTTATTTCGATAATCGAATCGTACTGAGAAAATGGCCCGTACCAAGCAAACTGCCCGTAAGTCAACCGGAGGAAAAGCTCCCCGTAAACAACTTGCCACCAAGGCAGCACGTAAAAGTGCCCCAGCAACTGGTGGAGTCAAGAAGCCTCATCGTTACAGGCCCGGTACCGTCGCTCTTCGTGAGATCCGTCGTTACCAGAAATCAACAGAGCTGTTGATCCGCAAGCTTCCCTTCCAGCGTCTTGTCCGTGAGATCGCTCAGGACTTCAAGACAGATCTCCGATTCCAGAGCTCAGCTGTCATGGCCCTTCAGGAGGCTAGCGAAGCTTACTTGGTCGGTCTGTTCGAAGACACCAACTTGTGCGCCATTCACGCCAAGAGAGTCACCATCATGCCCAAGGACATTCAGCTTGCCCGCCGAATCCGTGGAGAGAGAGCTTAAACTACTCTCACAAAACTTAAACAACGGCTCTTTTAGGAGCCACCACATGATATTAAAGTCAAACCAAATGCTTAGAAATGAAAATCTAATACCCAGTCAAATAACACCTTTCTGTCCTTATTATTTCTTCCCTCAAGACATCCAATTTTTCTCTTGAACTCCATGCGATTTTTTAGAGCTTGAAAAGTCCTTTTCAACAGTCGTTTTAGGACCAACCACTAATAAGAATAAACTCAAAACCATTTTAATGCCTCACAACAAGTATAGAACCCTAGAAACTTATTTAGCCAGCACCTTTATGTTCATGTAACGCATCATGACATGAGGTTACAAAGACTAACAATACGGTCATATACCATAAATCTTCCTTCTCGTTTGTGTAAACTACTGACACTGGCAATAACTCAAACATCAAGACTTGGATCACTTCTAACATTGTTTTCCAAACTCTTACTAAAGATTTCACTAATGAGTTTCATCCTTGCCGATCCTTGCCTACCCTGGGTGCCCTAAAGACACTATTCCTTCGTGTTTACTGAATAAACCATGATGTGCCAAACTTATTTTTAAATCTTTCTTCGTGCAAACTACTGACTCTGGCAATAACAACTCAAACATAAAGACTAAGATCACTTCCAACTTTGTTTTCCAAACTCTTACTAAAGATTTCATTTATGAGTTACATCCTTACCCAAAGAATCTTAATGAAGTTCGGGCACATGTTTTCCAAAGACACTCTTCCTTCGTGTTTACTAATAAACCGTGATGCGCCAAACGTATTTTTATAAGTTGTGTCTTAGACGTTTGCAGCTTAAATTTCCAAGTTTAAAATGTTAAACTTTATGGATGGCGACATTTACGACTCTCACTTATAAAGTTGCAAAGTTGCAGTTTGAGATATGATTTTTAAAAACAAGTTTTTTTGGCGCGTGAATCGGCACGGTTGCTCGCTCGCAAATGGTAGTATATCGAGTGTTCATTCACTGGACATAATCTCAAAAATACTACTTTCATATAGATATCATAAGATATTGCTCTTAGTTGGATAAAAATTAATAAAATGATAAGTCTCAAACCCCTAAACTAACTAGTTAAAGCATCACGCAGTTACATCAACCAACTTTTGATGATGTTGACAATATCTTCTTGAAATTTCAGCAACTAGAACTGAAAATTAAGAAACTTCTTTTGACAAGTCAAATTTAAATTTATTGATAAATGGTATGTTCCTGAAGAAGAAAAAGCATGTAGTTTTGAGAGAAATAGCAGTAATATTCAGAGAAACAGATAAAACGATTGGAGTTTATGATGTACTAAGTATGGCACGTGAATGAGTGTTTGTGTGTTTGTCGATGCAAGCAAAACCAACATTTCTCGCAAATGACACTTTAATTTCTCAAAATACTTGGCCAAACATGATCTTAGATAACTATAAATTTATTTTATTACACRAAATGGGGCATTTTCTTTATCACTTCGCTCTGTGAAGCAACAAATTTTCAAACGACATCAAAATCTTACTATGAACATTTTCAGCAAATGCATCATAACTTTATTTATCCTTCAAAAAGTAGAACGAAAATAACCTTTATGAAATTTCATGAGTTTTGCTATCTTTTGGTAAACTTTTATTGCGAAAAAGAAGTAGTTTTGCCTTCTAAATTTGCTGCTAAAGTCAATCAACAAACACATTTATATCAACCGCCATCTTGAAACAGTATAAACGAAGGATGTTTTCTCGGACGTTCGCAAGCATGCTATAAATATAAACAGCGCGCTTAACGAAGCATCTTTATACTTTATACTGTAAACGAGATTAAACCAGCGAAAATATGTCTGACGCAAAGCCAAAAGCTAAGAAGCCAGCAAAGCCTGCTGAGCATCCTAAATACTCCGAAATGGTACGTGCTGCTCTGACTGCCTTAAAGGACCGTACTGGATCCTCCCGACAAGCCATCGAGAAGTACATCAAGGCAAACTACAAGGTCGGAGACAATACCGGGTCCCAACTGAAACTCGCGCTCAAGCGTATGGTCCTTAATGATACAATTGTACACACTAAGGGCGTTGGAGCTTCAGGTTCTTTCAAGCTGAACAAGGCCAAAGAAGAAAAGCCAAAGAAACCAGCAAAGAAAGCCGCTGCTAAGAAAGTCGCAAAGAAACCCGCTGCTAAAAAACCAAAGGCAAAGAAACCTAAGTCACCTAAGAAGGCTAAGTCACCAAAGAAAGCTAAAAAAGCAGCAGATAAACCCAAGAAGGCTGCCAAGAAACCCGCAGCGAAGGCTAAACCAGCGAAGAAGCCAGCAGCAAAGAAACCTGCCGCCAAAAAGCCCGCCAAAAAAGCAGCGAAGTCCCCAGCCAAGAAGGCAAAGAAGTAGAGTGTTGGAACGCTTTAAAACAAAACAAAACGGCTCTTTTAGGAGCCACCACATAAATAAAAGCAATGCCATATGCCATGACAAAATATCTACCTTTTAATAAAACCACCACAGACTTTCGTTTTACAATCACCTAGTTATAAATACATGGGTTATTATTATTATGGTTCGTGCAAGTCCTTGATAGCAAAACTCGATGTCTTTTCGCAACCAAAACTATACCAATTACCCAATACATTCTTTTGCATATCGATCCTTGAAAATATAACATTTCGTCTATGAAAATATTATAATCGTACCTTGGTAATATGGTATATCCATTTTTACCGCATAAGAAGGACTTTTTCTCTGACGTGTTATGAACATGTTATGTACTGTACGATAGATTTTTTCATATATTTATGTAATCATTTAACCAATAGTCTACACTCAGGCACGGAAATCTCGCGTTTCCGATATATCTTTTGTAGCCAAATATATATATATATATATTTTCGAGCCTGTATATACAATGGCTATATATGTTTTGTGGGCACGGGGTTTTTGTGTTTCTGTGTATATATGTATATATTATACTTCATTTTCTTCTTTTTTATATTCATACTTTTAGGTTCATAATCACAAATTTTAGTATAGATTTTATTTAGATTTTCATAGATTTTATATTGCTTATCACTGGTTCATACCAGCTGTTCTATCGTGTCCAGCTGATCGTTTTTTTTAAATCAGGATAAATAAAGATATTATTATTATTATTATTATTATTATATTATTATTATAACATCATAAGCTGTGTTACTGTTGTCATGAAATGATTCTGAATGTAAGATTTGACATGCAGTCTTGTGGTGTCTTGTATAGTTCTTGGGGTAGATTAGCTACCATTTTCTCTTATAACTTGTCTCACAAGGAGAAGTATGTTGTAAGATCCACTGCGTAGTATAACATTGCCTACGTGTTGTTAGCCATGCAATGTCTACTATGCAATGTCTTTCCCTGGAAAACTGAATTCTTTTTCATGTTCCTGTCTCCTGTCATGGCTGCCTTCACATGATGATGGAAGGTTTATTGGTGCATGGATCGTATATTTTCAATGTTATGCCGATATTCTAATAATTATCTAAAAAAGTAGACTAAGAAAGTAGAATTGTATTGTATAATATTTTCTCTCTGATTGTTAATCCAAATTCAAATAGTGATTACGTTTGAGCATTTGTACAGCAACACTTTGGTTTAGTTTTTTTTCCTCTCATTGCTAGTAAAAACAAGGCCAGGGGGATACTCCGCCAGAATTCGGGTAGGGTTGTTCCACTGGGATTCTGAAAGGGGTACCCTGTTTATGACAAAAAAACTCAAATTTGTAGACCCTGTTTATGACAAAAGATATAATTTATTGCACTGAGTTCCTGTTTCAATTATCATGTCACCTCGTGTATCATTTTTTTACAACCATAATAACCAGTTTCGGTCAATACGAAAGTAGAAAACCTAAATATGACAGGAAACTC